TACAAAGGGAGTGTTAGCAGGGGGCTGCCGGCCATAGGGGGGTGGGAGCAGTGGTGTATTGGTGTTGGGGGGCTGTTGGTAAGACAAAGGGGCTGTTAGCGAGGGGGGGGGAGGGGGTAGATGGGGTGCTACTGGCCGTAGGGGATGGTAGCCATAGGTGTGTTGTTGGGGGGCTGTTAGCATGGGGGGCTGTGAGCCATAGAGGCTGCTAGCCGTGGTGTATTGTTGCTGGAGGGCTGTCAGTAATACAAAGGGGCTGTTAGCAGGGGTGGGCTACCAGCCACGGGTGTTGGTAGCCATGGGTTATTATCTATAGGGTCCATCAGCCACAGGGTGCTGCTGGCCAGGAGGTGCCAGCCATAGGGCTAGTAGCCATGGGGTGAGCAGCTGAGAGCCCCCCATGCATGGCATCCCTCCATCCCTGTGAGTTTGGGATATGTTGGCACCCTGAGCATCCCTGGGGTCACCCCGCATCCTCCTCCCGCAGCCATGGGATAAAGATGGGAGGGGGGGGGGTAAAGGCAGAGCCGGGGGTCCCTGCTCGGCTGTCACCTCCCAGGGGCGGTCCCATGAGCCAGCCTTTGTCTCTCATCTCCCAAGCCTCGGAGCTGCTGATCACAGAGATGCTTGGATAGGATTATCGGTCCCATTTCTCCTCCTGAAGTGGATTTGTGAATGTCTCTAAATCACCTTCTGGTGTGCTTGAGGGTGATGAGCTGTGCTCATTATTAATGGAATCAGTCCCAAAGCTGCTCTGGGTGACAGAAGGCTGCAAACACCTCAGACCCCAGAAGAGGTTATTATGGGGTCCCCACTCAGCACAGCAGTGCCATTGGATTTGCAGGAAAATGCTGTGAAAAGTGTGCAATGAGTGTGCAGTGGCTCTAGGATTTGGGTTTCCAGGGCAGGGTTTGCTCTGGGGCTGGGGGTGAATCTCCATGAGGTCCTGGGGATGGGAACATTGGTTCACAGCACTGTGCTCAGTGTTGCAGAAGGATGCAGTCCTGCTAGAGATGACAAATGGCAGCAGAACGGTGCAGGTGCCACCACCTCCCTCAAAGCTGGGGTTTGGAGGGCTAAGAATGCTACATCCATGCAGCTCCTCACTGTGTCAGGGGCAGTTCCTGGAGCAGTGATATTCCTACACTGTTTCTTGACCCTACCTATCCCTGGGATCATCACAAACCACCACCTTACAGGAAAGCTAATGCCATCATCCCCAGTGGCACCATTTGGTCCCAGTGCCAGCCCACTCCAGATGAGGCCATAAGAGAGCAGGACATCAAAAAGGCAATTTTCCCAAGTTTGTTTTTTCAAGAAATCAGGAAATTCATTGGAAGCTGTGGTGTATGGGGACTGCCAGCCCCTGGGATGGACACTGCTCGAGGGCTCCATCACCAACCCCAGCAACACCTTTCAGTGTCACCCCATGTGCTGAGACCCCACCCCCATCCATCCAGGCTGTGCTTCCCAATACAGCTTGCAATCCCACAGCACCCCAAAACCATGTGTTTTAAGCTGATTTCCCCCTGAAAAGCTGAAGAAATACCTCCATTACTGTGTCACCTGGGGGAGAGAAGGGGGGTCTTGTGGATCCAGAGTAGGATTTGCCTATGGATGCTGTGCTGCAGCTGATCCTACAAGCTGGTGATGTGTGGGGCAGTGCCCCATTGCATGTGGCAGAGGAAGTGATGTTTGCTTGCTTTGGGGACCACGTGTGGGGTGGGAGAGGTGAGGAGGGAGGGTGCTGGCTTTAACACCCAGAGAAGAGCAGGAGGAGATGGTTGTTGCTCTGTGCTGAGTGTTAACCTCTGCTCCTTGGTTGGGTGCAGCATCACGAAGAAGAGGAGAGCCCCGTACCCTGCAGTGGCCATGAAGACAGAGAAGGATGAAACTCTGCCCAACTTCTCCCTGGGGGGGAAATACGTTGGGGAAGGGGCAGGTGAGTCCCTGGGATGGTGTGGGGCAGGCTGCTGTCTGAGGGATGTGACAATGGGGGACACCAGAAGTCCTATTGTAGGCATGGAGCTATGGCCCCAACCCCCTCCCCCTCACCCCAGATCACGCTCTGCTCCATGGCCGGGGCAGGGGTGAAGGTTTGGGATCACGATGGCTGCTCAGAGCACCGACCCCACAACCTCTTCCCTGCAGGCCCCATGACAGCACTGGGGAGCGGAGGAGCCCCCCCAGCACAGGACCTGCGGCTCCTAAAGCGCCGTCCAGCCCCAGGTGAGCTGAGTGCATCACCCACCCCGCTGACCCACAGGTGAGTAGGGACAGGGGATGAGGCCAATGGTGATGTCTTCTTGCAGGGAAGCACTATGCCTGCTCCAGCTACGGCTGCAAATTGGCCTTCCCCAGCATGCAAGAGCTGATGGACCACCTGAAGGTGCACTACAGACCCACGCAGTCCCTGGAGGGTAAGGGGACAGCAAGATGGGGATGCCCTGTGGTGCACAAATAGTGCTCGTGGAGCCCAGAGGGGCGTCTGGGGACACTGGTGGCACAGCATGGAAGGGGATGGGGACAGCACCAGGATCCCCACCCAGGGGCACAGCGCAGCCAGGACATTGCTGACTCCGCCCCATCTCTTTTTTTGCAGGCAAAACCTTCCAGTGCCCCACACTGGGCTGCACAGAGACCTTCCCCAGCATGCAGGACCTCATGGCCCACATGAAAGTGCACTACAAACCCAACCGCTACTTCAAGTGAGTCCTGGTCCCCCCCACTTGTCCTTGTCCCCCATTTGTCCCTATCCCCTTTCTCATTACTGTCCCACCCCACGTCTCTCCATGCACCCATCCCATGTACACACAGCCCCATCCCATACCCCATTTGGGGCCACCCCGTACCCCACCCTAATGGCACAGACCCCAGGTCAGGGGGTCTGCGTGCCCTAAAATGACCACGGGAGGACTGACTGCCCCACACCTGACGCTGCCTGTGGCCCCACAGATGTGAGAACTGCCTGCTGCGCTTCCGCACCCACCGCTCCCTCTTCAAGCACCTCCACGTCTGCTCCGACCGCTCCAGCAGCCCCGCACCGCCGCCCCAAAAGGCCGAGAAGCCCACCCTGCCCACCGCCTCCACCCAAGAGAAGGAACCCACCGCCAAACCGCCCCCCGAGGGGCTGCCCAAGCCTCCCACCGTCATCCGGCACACGGAGAAAGAAGCCATCACCACAGCCCCCGGCACAGACCCGGCCCCCAACCTGCCCGACCTGCCCGGCTCGCTGGAAGCGCTGCCGCTCGTCCCGCCGGCCCCGCACCCCTTCCCGCTGCTGGAACCCAACCTGTTTGGCCCTCCGACCTTGACTCGCTTCTCGGGGCCTCCTCCTCCTCATCCTCCCCCTTCCTCGGTGCCGTTCCTCTCCTACATGCACCCCCCGGTGCCCTTCAGCCTGCCTGCAGCCCAGCCCCGCCTGCGGCCCTGCTCGCCCAGCCATGGCCCGGCAGCCTCCAACGCCGTCTGGAAGAAGAGCCAAGGTGAGCACAGAGGGCCCTTAGGGCAGTGCTTCTTCTGCTCTCGGACCAGGACAGCACGACGGCCAGCGAGGATCCCCCCTTCACCCCATAGCCCACAGCCTGGAGCTGCCCACCCCCACCGCCCTCTGCCTCATCCCACCGCCGTTCCCCGCCTCCCCCCACCAAATTGGGAAAGAAAAATAATGAAAGGCAACCGCCAGAATCCTCTAAATTGGCTCAGCCCTGCTGCTCCCCCGCATGCTGGGGCGCCAGGCCTGCCCCCCACATCCCCCCCATCCAGGGAGGGGAAGGCCTAATGCTTGTCTCGCCCCTCGATTCCCTCCGCAGGTGTGAGTGTCAGCCCACTCCTCCCATGCTTTGGCTCAGGAGTGACTCCAGGTTAGTTCGGCACCGACTGGTTGGGGGCTGCTTTGTCACTGGGGGGGTGGGGGGGAGGTGTAGGGAGGGACTGTAGGGGAGGGGAGAGCCCCCACAGCACAGTGGGGAGGGAAAGCACCCTCATTTTGGGAAGCCCCATGCAGAGGGGATGCTGCCCAGGTAGGGGGGGGTTGTTGCTGTCTGCATCATTCCCCCCCATGCCAGAATCTGCTAAGCTTGGGTTGAGCAGCAGCACCAAGAGGGGGTGCAGCAGTTGCTTGGACTCAAACCCCCCCATTTTTCCAGCAGCTATGGCCAAGGGACACTGTTTCATGTGATGTCCATAGCCAACTCTGCTCTTAGATTTGGGGGCCTCTCCAGGATTTGGAGTTCCTCCCACAGAGAGGGGACCTGTTCATATTGCAGGGCTCAGAGTGGAAAGCTCCCACCCCACAGGTCCATGTGATACCCATGGCCAGCTATGCTCCAAGATTTGGGGTCCACCCTCTAGATGCAGGGGGCTCCCCCAGATTTGGGGTCCCTCCTTGGAGTGGAGTTCTCCTGCCCTGCAGCTCCATGGCACAGCTCCATACAACACCCACGGCCAACTCTGCTTTTAGGTTTGGGACCCCTCTTGCTGTGGGGTCTCCCCCAAATCCGTGACCCATTCATATTGCAGTACACAGAACGGGGGGCTTCTACCCCACAGCTCCACAGCACCGCCCCATGCATATCCCATTCGTGCCCACGGGTGCTGCCAGCAGGCTCTGTGCTTCCCTCCTTCACCTGTCCTTACAGGGCACTCCTCCAACAGCCGGATCGTGTGGGAGCACACGCGGGGCCGCTACACCTGCATGCAGTGCCCCTACTCCACGGCCTCACGGGAGGAGATGACACTGCACATCGAGGAGCACCGCAAGAACCCAGCACCAGCTGGGCGCATGGACACAGACGTGGGTATGGCCTTGGGAGGGGTGGCTACGGGGGACCCCAGGTGCTCTCTTTGAATGGGATTTAGCATGAGCATCCCCTTCCTTCCCTTCAGTCCCTAAGGGGTGGGAATGGGGCACTCAGAGGGTCTGGCTTGGAGGAAGGAGGTGTTAATGGGGATCAACCCCACTGCTGTCCTCACGCCTAGCATCCCAGCATGCTTCCAAGCCCCAGCATATCCCCAAAGCAAGCCGTGCAGCTCAGCCCCAGACCTGATGGCTCTCTTCCTTCTCCCTGCAGACTTTGGGGTGAGCATTGCCTCCTTCCACTCGAAGCTGACACCAGAGATGGAGAACTCCCTGTACTCACAGCTCTGAGGAGAGCTGCTCCTGCTGAACTGAGGGCACCACATGCTCCACACCTCAGCACTGGGACCCTTGGGAGCATCCCCAGCATGGGCTGCCAGAGGAGGGTGGCAATTGGTGGTTTTTTTTTTGAGTCTCTCTCCCCTTTATTTTTGAAATGCTAAGCCCCCTACGAGCCCTCGTGTCTCTCCCTTCCCTACAAGTTCCATTGCTCCAGCCTGGGAGGAGGAGGGGGTGAGAGGTTGGGGGGAGGCCAACGGATGCTCAGGAACAAGGTGTGGAAATTAATAAATAGGAATTGTACAGGAGGAGCGACTGGGAGAGCCTCTATGGGGGGCAATAAGGAGCTGTGCCAGCCCTAAGGAGCTGCCCCCCCACCCCAGAGAGGGGGGCCAGGTGGGGCAGCAGGGGCTCTGCATCACGCAGCAGGGGGTCCCACCATGGGAAGGGTGTGGAAAGGGTGGGTTTGAAGGAGACACAGCATTTGGAACAAACTCCATAGGGAGGAGGCCAAAATCATCCAGGTGCAGCCCCCTCCTCCCCCCATCATCCTGCTGCCCTATTGGGAGCTCAGGCTTTGCCCCCTGTGCCACAGCACCTGGAGCTTTTATTTTCTTTGGCTGGAAGATGGGTTTGCTGCAAGCAGTAGATGAGAGCTGCTCTACCCATTCCAAGATACACCCCATGGTTCACACATAGCAGCTGTAGGGGATGCAGTGCGGGATTCCTGCAGCAGAGCTGAAGCTGCTCTTTTCCCAGGAACACCGACCCCATAACGCAGATCTTCAGGGGGCTGCATGCTCCCAGCTCCCTCCATGCAGCCCTGCAGCCACAGCTCCAGCACACCCAGCTTTGTGCATAGGGGAAGGTGAGCGCAGCAGGGAGCAGCCCCAGCCACTCCTGCTGGGGATAGAGCACTGAGCAGCAACAGTGAGGCTGCACAAATCCTCACCAGGCCCTGGGTTGGCCACTGGGCACACAGAATCACAGAACACCCTGCAAAGAGCCCGAGGTAAAGCCCACACAGAACTGACAGTCACAGCTCACCAGGACCACGCAGCCCCACAGGCACCTTAAGACCCCAGGGAAGGGGCACAGCTCCCCTTTCTGAGCCCCCTAAGCCCTCCGAGCCCTGCCTGGGTTCAGACCCCAGTACCCAATCCCTGCTCCAGCACTGCCTTTGGGGTGTACCAACACTGGGGCTGTTCACCCCCCTCCACCCTTAAGCCGTATCACTGTCCTCAGCAGGGCCTCCCAGCAGAGTTGAAGCCATTCTCATGCATTTCTCAACATTTTAACAGGAGACTTTTCCTACGGATAGAAAAGCAGATACACACCTACCTGTCCTTCAGCAGCCCCACAGCTCCCCATGAACCTGGTGCTGGCAGTTCACAGGACAGCCCAGATCAGAGCTGCCATACAGACCCCACAAACACACCCTGCATGGATTCCCCAACACATTTCCCATCCAAGCCCCCGCTCCACCCCCATCCATAAGAAGCCCCCCTCCTCACCCCAATGACAGACAAGCTTCACTTACCAAGAATCCTCCCAGCTGGAGCTCAGACCAAAAAAAAAGCCATGGAAAGGTGAGCAGAGCCATCACTGCTGTAGGAGAAGATCCAGCTGCTCAAGAAAAACTGCCCCAGAACTTCCAAGCCAGGGCTTCCGTGGGCTGCTGGCAGCTCTGGTGTTCCTAGAGCAGAGGCAGTGAAGGCAACATTCATTGCAATGGATTTTTAAAAACTGAAGTCTTTATTAAAAGTTTTATCCAAATTTTGTAACAAAAGATACAAAAGGGCTGGAGATCCTTATTCCTGGGACTAGTCTGACCAATCGAAACCTGACAGTGACTAGGCTATTATAAAATCCATACAATCTGCTAAAAATGCAGGGAAAAAAAATTAGAAGTAACTGCTGCTCTGATTTTTTTTTTTTCCTTTTTTAAATTCCTTTAACATTTATAAGTTACTCAGTTTGCATTTTACAGGAGTAGTTCTTCTCTGAATGGTTACAGCTACTGTACAATGCAAGAGACAACAGCAAGAACAGAACAAAGCAACAGAAACTCTGATGTGCTGCAAACACACACCACTCCTGAAGGAACTCTGTGAGCCTCACCTCCAGGCACTGGGTGCCAAAGCATTGCCTGGAGCACCGAGCAGAGCTCTGCAAAGTGCCAGTGCCCCCGCAGCAGCGCGATGCTCCCAGCACTGTGTTGCTCCCTCTGTCCCCAACGCAGGCACCCAGCACCCAACAGCTCCCCATCCCTGCAGGCCACAGGGCCAGGTTTCTCCAGAAGCTATCAGCTGTGCCATCCGAACGCCTCGTGGCAAAGGAAGGAAGGGTCAGAGGCCAGAAACCCTGCAGTGGAGAGCTAGCCCTGGTCCAATTCCCCCCTTCCCTGCTCCAGCCACTCCAGGTCAGAGGGAGGCATGCCCCATGGCTGCTCCTGCAGCACGTAAATAGCATGAATGGGAGCAAGCTGCATTTCTGATCAATGGACTTCTCTTTGTGCTGAAAAGGAAAAAGGAGGAGGACACACACCAGGCAACTGTCCAGAGCTGTTACTGGCTAGCAGAAGGACCCTGAGAATATATAGGCTAACACGGTCTCCCGGGGAATGCCGAGTTAGGTGCATCACAGTGATACTGGTTGAACGTGTTCTGTACAGTGCGAAATGGAGTTTGACAGAAGTGCAGTATCCCTAAACCTGCTATTTCCTATCTCTTCCCAAAGCACAGGCTGCTAGAACGATGACCAGCCTCAGCACAGCAGATGTTCAGGACCATAAACCAGCACTACTTGGGCATCCAAGTCGAAGTTATTAGGTGGCAATCAGGAAAAAAAAATATTCCAGTTTATAAAAAGTAGGAAAGCAAGTACAGGGCTACTGCAAGGTGCATCACCAGAGGTACCAGGTCTTGCAAGCAGTCAACCCCCCGCCCAAGTCCCCAAGCACCCCGCAATCCCAGCACTAAAGTATCTTCAAGCATATCCAGAGATCACATCACCATTATTTCTGATCAGAGACACCTCAGTGATCGGTTGCTTAAGAGTCCATTCAGATGAACCAGATTTGCACCCACTGCTCAAGATGGCTCGAGTGTCTTCGGAAAGCAGGTCTGAGGGCATGCAGATAGCAAACACCTTCTTGGCTGTCAGGCAAGGTGGCAGGCTGGAGCTCTGGGTCCAGTGTGGCAAGGCTGATTTCAGACACCAAAGATACCCTAGGAGGAATTTTTCTTTTTTTTTTTTCCTTTTTTTTTTTTTTTTTTTTTTTGCAAACTGCTGCACAAACCACAGAACGGAGAAAGCCTTTGGTCATGAGATACTTGTGAGAAAGAGAGCCTTGTATGGAAGATTCCCCTGAATGCCTACAGTATTCTACATCTTAAAAAAATATACTGTGGACGCTGCAGCCATACAAAGGGGAGGAGGAGTGGGAGATGGGGATTTACAGTCTCACATAGACACAACGGGGAGGTTAAGACAAGCACAGTCATAGTCTGTAAAACTGATTGGCTCGCTGGGATCAGTCATCCTCATCATCCTCTTCGTCCTCTGGGTCTTCCTCTCCTTCATCCTCTAGATTTCGTTTTCTCTTCTCCCCTCGTGGAAGGTCTGCAAACAGAGGTGAAGCATGAAGTTCTGCTCAGTCTTGAGGAACAGCACTTGAACAGCAGCTACAAGCCTCAGCAGCTACAGCTTGCCAGTGAGCAAGCACAGACTAGACTCTCACCATGACGTATGAGATCCACCCAGCTCAGTTTCTCATGCTACCCAAAAACCATGGACTCGTAAGAAGCAGTAACAATTTTTATGGCCTCCAAGCATCCTACATTTCATCAAGTGCTCCAAAGCAGGCTTTTTGTTGAGCACTCCCAAAAGCTTAACTATACAATTCAGTCATTTCTGACCACACTCAAGTAAGGAAATTTAAAATCATGCCAACCACTACATTCTGTCAGTGTGTTCGGGTGCTTATAACCAGAGGAGTCTGGACTCAAGTCAAGCTCAGGTCTATACACCTCTCTAGAGCTGACAGGAGAGGGGAGTACCTCTCACAGAGACTACTAACAACAGAGTCTATGACAGAAGCCCCAGTCTGGCAAGAACCATCAGTTCAAGCTACTTAGATAGGTTTACTAGGCAATTTACCCCCTAATATTTGGCAATCTACCCAGCTTGATAGGTATTAACAGGCACTGAAACTTATTTCCCCATCACTACCACCTAACTCTCAGGTTTTAGCCACTATTTTATAGTTAGCTCAGACACAAGCAACAGCTTAGCACTGCTTCCAAGGAGGCATGCTGCACTTGTCATGGAGAAGCTGAAGGCAACAAGGCACAGAAGCTTGGGAAGCTCTAAGAATAGAGCAAACATGCCAAGACTGTCACGACAGCTTTGCAAGGCACACAGTTTATTAATTATTCAACTTACCATCATCAGCTTCATCATCTTCTTCATCCTCACCATCTTCCTCCTCATCTTCCTCCTAGAAGGAAAACAAGACACCTTGTTACACAAACCACAATGCTTTTCCTTCATCTCTGCTCCCACCTTTCTTAGGGTGTAAGGTGCAAGCTGGGTATGGAGAAGCTCCTCTTTCTTTAACAGCACTTGTTAAGAGTGTTTTCTGTATGGCTTTATGGCTTGACAACTGATACAGAAACATCAGTCCAAGTGGAAAACTGCTGAACCAGAAAACTCTCATGGATTAAGAAGTTTCTGGATGGGAAAAGCCAAAGCCCAGGGTAGGACCCCTTGAATCTGCCCACAAAGAGGCACCTGTGACATGGTCTGATGGGTCATAAGATTAACATACAAACACACTGTCAAGCAAGCCAAAATGCTACTGAAGACATACAGTAATGACAGAAAGCCTCACCTCATCATCTACTCCATCCTCCTCCTCTTCACCTTCCAGATCATCATCTTCATCATCTTCTTCATCGATGACTTCTTCATCCAAGTCATCTTCCTCATCATCATCCTCCTCTTCCTCACCTTCTACCAATACAAAAACATTATGGTTTCCAAATACTTGCTAATTCCAGACAGTATGCCCACAACTGCTAGAGCAGAAGCAATAGGAAGGACCTCACACCAAACAAGCACACAAAAGGAGTACCAGCAGCACCCTGTCAGCTTGCAGCAAGCCTCACTTCTCTGCAGCCCACCAAAGAAAGGAAGGTATCCAAACAGCCCCTACTTCAGTGGCAAGTTATAATCATTTATATAGCAACACAATCGTAGAGAATGAGAAAAATGAGCTGTTCCCAAGAAAAAGGAGAAAATCCTTACCTTCCCCATTCTCATATTCATCTTCCAGGCCATCCCCATCTGCCTCAGGGTCTGAGTCAGGAGCTTCCTGCTCATCAGCATCAAATCCATCTAGGTATGTGAGCTGGGGCAGAAGGGTGAACACACTCTCCCGGTAGTTGATGAGCATTGTCACCTCGCAGTTGAAGAGGTCCAGACTATGCAGGTTTGGCAACTTTTTCTGCAAAGATTAAGTCAGCAGATCATTCACAAGTCAACACTTTAATAGAAGATCAAGCAGCCATTAAAATACAGATGGTTTGCTTACTACCCATATCTAATACCAAAAAAGATTATTTGCATGCATTATTTTCACCATATGCTCCTCACGTGGAGATAAGTTGCTGGCTTTCCTAAGTGTAGGATAACACTTATGCTGAAAGATGACTCCTTTTCAGCTCCCCTGTCCTACAGCTTCCTCTCCTTGGACCAATATGGGAATCTTACTCCTTCTTAGATGATGGAGTGGGTAACAAACACAGTGCCCAGCTCCCACACAGCAGGAGGAATTACAAAATCAGGCTCACAATGCCCAAAAACATCAGGCAAAATGCCCAAGAGCACAACACAGGCAGCTCAGTGCTTGCAAACTGTATCTGATGTGCTTTTCAGCACAGCCTCAGCAGCTCCTCCAGTCAGACTAGCACACTGTGCACCCAGCTAAGCAAAGGAGAACAGTTTCCAGCTCTTTCTGGAGAGGATGGAGGGACCAAAGATAACAGCTACCGAGGCCAACTCCCTAGATCAGGCCTTTCACAGCTACAAAGTCTAGATGGCAAGGCAAAAGCCTTCCCTAGGGCAGCCTAGCTGCACCAGAAACGGTGCTCCTGCATTCACAGCAGGAACCTCCTGCAATGTAAGTTGTGACAGCACCCATGGTGCAAGAGTCACAGTGCAGCATCAGTGTCTTTGGATTGATGCAATGGAAGCCCTCACTGGTGTCCAAGCAACTCATCTCCATGACACCCCAGGTGCCACCTACCTCAAACTGCATCCGACCCATTAACGGTCCTTTCTCAGATGGACACTGAGCACTGCATCCACAGTTTTACTCATCCAGCCCAAATTTCATGCTTCTTTTTAGCAACTGGCTGCTGGTTTTCCAGACAGTGGAGCCATTAACTATTAGCCCAGCCTCAAATTGGACCCACTCATCTGTTCCCATCAGAACCACGAAGTGCTGTTGGAACAGTTACCAAGATGTTGGACTTCTGCTGCACAGACATGCTCCCCAAAGGAAATATCATCCCTTAGATCCCAGCACTGCCTTTCACTCACCAAGGGTTCCAGGGTATTGATGTCTTTGATCTTGTTGCCACTTAGATTCAAGTGTGTCAGGTTAGGAGTTCTCTCTGCTAGAACTTCAAGGCCACCAGAAATCCGGTTATCACTCAGCTCCAGCTGTCAGAAGGAAACATCATATGGTCACAAAGTGTTTCAGCTTTTCACAAAGGGAATACAGTTCCCTGACAACTAGACCGTAGCAGAACCCTGTTCATTAGAGAAGCAGCTCCAGTTTTCACCGAGATCCCATTTCCAAGTTAACATAGCACCACTCCCAGCCACTTCAGTACTGCAGGTCTGAGGGAGTAGCTATCCTGCTACCTAACTGCAAACACTAAAACCTAAAATACAAGACTGAAATTTACAACTGTAAGAACACAAAAGGATGCTTAAAATGCAAGCTCAAAAATATTCTCTTACATTAGAAAATAACCTCTCAATTGCTCAGCCTACAGACTGAGAATCCAAGTGTGTTTTTCCAGCTAATGCAGGAACAAGCTCTGACCACACAGAGATCAGCCTGCCTGTCCCAGAGCAAGGACTGCTGGAGATGGGACTCACCTTTCGGAGCTTGTTAAGTTTGGGGAGATTGGAGATGGACATAAGGTTGACGTTGATCATGCTGAGGAACTCCAGGTTCTCAAAATCTGAAGAGAGCCCAACGATCTTCCCATCATCCGAACGGCAGTTATCAAGGACCAGCTCTTTCACCTGCCAACAGAGACACTCAGGAGCTGTCATTGCACATCCAGCTGAGCCTCACCTCAAATCCATCAAGCTGACTGCAGGCTCAGTGAAGTTTCACAGCAGCAGGCATATCTACAGGTCTCCCTGCGCTCACCCTAAGGGACATGCGAGATCTTAAAGCTGAACCACTTCTGAGAGAGCACAAGTTACTGCAGCGAGGATTCCATCTTTTAAGCACAAGCTGTGCAATTTGTACCACCATACATCTGACTCCAGCCAAGGCCTGCCAGAAGCCTTTCTTCGCTAGGAAACCTTCAGAGGTTGAACCATAAGGTTGCATCAAAGCATTTCACACAAAGCTTCAAAAAGCTTCCAGAGCCACAACCCGGGCTGAGCTAACAAAACACCAAACTAAGTCACTTGGTTCTGTCCCCTTTGGTCCTTCCCACAACACTAGGCCTGCCTTGGGCACTGGAAAGCCTGCCCCAAACAGCCACTGAAGGCACATTCCCACCAAGAGTCTCCCCACGGACTCAATGATCCTGATAGGTCCTTTCCAAATCAGGATATTTTGTGGAGCAAACCCCTCACACCCCATGGCCTCCAAGCTCTTCATACACTGATGGCATCCAATATCTTGCCAAGCATAGACTACGTGCATAGCAGTAATCTTTATCTGTTCTTTCAGTATACTCCCCCACAACAATAAGACCACAGAACTGCACCCTGTAGGCACCCAAAGGGCAGACACACATACCTGCAGCACCCGCACCCCCCTCTGAAGCACAGCTCCAGTTCTTGTGGGCCATTCCCAAAATTTGCTTTTACCCCATACATTCTTCCCCACAAGATGCAAAAGTGAGTCTTGGCCAGAAAGCTCGTGTTGCTCTCCAAATTCCTCCTGTGCAGATCTCTAATTTTACCTCCTGCTCAGATCAGCCAACTCTCAGAAAGTCATACGAACTTCACTTTGTCCTATTATAAGGGAGTTTTCTTCCAGGGCTGCCCTGCCAACTTCACAGCAGCACCCCAGGTCAAAATGAGTTAACACAAACTCCAGAGGTGGCTGCACTGGTCAGGGCTCTGAGCAGAGCAGCAAACAAGCTCAACCAAGAGTTCTGCAGTTGAGCTCATTTTGCTCCTCAAACAAAACTCTGATTAAACTGAGACTCAGCATCCAAGCATAAAGGCAGCCAACGCCAGCACTTTGCTGCTGTCGCTTGGTTCACTTCTCACCACAGAAGTGAGAGTGAACATTACTGGGTTAAGAACCAACCTCGCTGAGGAGGGACCTGCTTAACTTGGAGCAGAGCCTTGCCCTGGCCAGCAGAACAAACGCTGCAGCTGGCAGAGCAAAAGCAGAACAGGACTGAGCAGCCAGGACTGCTCCTTCCAGCAGCAGTACTGGCTCGTACCAGCCTCGGCTGCAGGGCACACACGCTCTGAGCCTGCTCTTTTCCCCAGCATGCCACACACTCAAATTCCTGGTGTCAAACAAGAGGAAACCTGCAGCTTGCAGCCTCGAAGGGACACTTCTGTTCCTCACACTGTTCTCGTTCTGCAAGTTCCTTCACCATCCAGAAAGGCTTTAACTTCAACCACGAGCTCCATTTATGGAGCGTTTTCCTTGTGATCCCAGCTCGATTCTCAGCAACCCAGGGCAACGTGCTGCAGAGACGCAGGGATCTGTCCCAGGAGCTGGATGACAGTCATGGCTATCTTGCCATGAGGAAGCCAGCAGGATGGCACGGCCGGCCTCAGATAAGGACAGGCCTCTTTGCTGAAGCACTGCACACAGCAACGATGAGCTGCTGCTCCAGAAGCTGAGGCTTAAAGGACAACGCAAATGGTTTGGAAGGGTGCAAAAGTCCCAGCCTCGAGCCCTGGCTGACCGCTGTGTGCAGAGTGATCTAAACACCATAGCAGCGAGGCAGTTTAACTGGCCCCACCAGCTGAGCAGACAGCATTCCTCAGCACAGCAAAGGACATACAAGCCACAGGCAGGCACTGGGAAGGAGAAAGTTCAGCCAAAGAGGCACTGGAGAAGGAAACTGAGCAGCAAAGTGATTTAGGACAGCTCAGCTATCGCCTGGCTCCTTTTTTTAGGCAGGGTAGGTCTATCACAGCACCCTCCTCCTGCCAACGTGGGCTCCTCACGTCCGTGCTTCAGCACTGAGCTTCCCCTCCTCCAAGAGGGGAGAAACCCCACTCAAAGGCATAGGCCCAAGCACGGGAATTTCCACCTTCGATACCAACAGCCCCACTTTCTCCTCTCGCTGCGAGCCCACGCAGCCCTGCCTGCCTCCGCGAAGGAGAGGCCGGGCTGTGAATCACCACCAGCAGCGGGGAAAGTACAGCCCGCGCCGCTGCCATCGCCGGCCACGCTGCGAGCTCGGCTCACCGGCGGCCCGCAGGGCTACCAGAGCCCCGCACGCCGGGCGGCCCGCAGCCCCGGGGGCGGCACGGCGCCTTCCCACGTCCCCCACGCAGCGGCGGGGCGGGCTGGCCGGCAGCAGGGCGCGGCCGTGCCGGGCTCTCGGGGCACAGCGAGCTTTAAGGAAGGCTCGAGGCCGCGGCCCCAACACGAGGCGCCTGCGGGCCTCGCCGCCCCTCGGCTCCGGCCCTCGGCGCGGTGCCTCCATGGCGCCCGGGGCCGCCCCTAACATGGCCGAGCCGCGTGCGCGGGGCCGCTCCGGCCATGTTAGACGGCCCGGCGCGGCGGGAGCCATCTCAGCACCATTTTGGGCGAGCTGCGGGCACGGGAAGGCGGCAGCGCCGCCCGGCCCCGCTGCGACACGTGCGCACGCCGCGCCATGGCGCCCACGGGCCGCGCCGGGCCCCGCCGCTCGCCCCGCGTCCCTCCCCGCCCTCCCGGCCCCGCCATGTGCTCGGCGGCAGCGCTACCTCTCCGGGCTTCTTGTTGCGCAGCTCCAGTGTGAGCCGCTTTTTCATCTCCATCCTCCCGCCGCCGCCGTGCCGGGCTGAGCCGAGCCGAACCGAGCCGAGCTAGAACCGAGCTCGCCGAGCCGAGCCGAGCCGAGCCCGCCGGAGCCCGCGCGCCGCCGCCGCCGCCGCTTATATAGAGGAAGGCGCCAACGGCAACAAAGGCGGCGCGCCACGCGCCCCCTGGCGGCTCCGCGCCCCTCCGCGCCGCGCCGCCCCGGACCCCGCCGCGCCACAGCGCCCCCTGCCGGGCTCCGCCGCGCGTGGCGGGCGAGGGGCGGCCCTCGACAAAATGGCACCCCGGGGCGCGGGGCCGTGCGGCTCAGCGCCCCGCTTCGGGGCTCCGTCTCCTCGGGGAGAGTGCCGGCGGGCAGCCGGTCCGTCGCGCAGCCGCGGTGCGTGGTGGCACAGCCACGTCCGGCGTGGCGGCGTGGAGTGACGGTGCAGTCTTCCAAGCTTGCCCTGTGCTCATCATGGCGACGTTTGGATTCAAAAAACGCTGCCCCGGTCTGAAATGTTCGGGTGGTCCCGACGCCTTCAGGCCTGGCGGATGGCAGCCAGGACGAGGTTAACCCGGTGCAGGGGAAATGGCCACACAATGTCCCCTCACAGCTCCCCTTGTGGCTGCGGGGCTTTGGGATCACCTCCATGTCCCGCTGCCTGTCTGGGACAAGGTTGCTGTGTGATCTCCCCATTAGCAGCAGGTCACCACATTACATCCCCTCCCAGCTCCCCTCATGGCTGTGGGACTTCAGGGAGACATGTCCAGGCCCCATTGCTTGGACACGATAGGGTCGCTGTGTGGTTTCCCCATTATCACAGCTCCCATCATGGCTGCGGAGCCTCAGCATCACCTCCAGGTCCCAGGGAATGGCCAGGGTGAGGTCACTGTGTGACTTCCATGCCGTGAGGAGGTCATCGCATCTCACAGCTCCCCCCATGGCAGTGGGGCTTTGAGATTGCCTCCATGTCCCAGTGCCTGGTTGGGACACGGTTGCTGTGTGATCTCCCCATTAGCAGCAGGTCACCACGTTACATCCCCTCCCAGCTCCCCTCATGGCTGTGGGACTTCAGGGGGACACGTCCAGGCCTCATTGCTTGGACATGACTGTGTGACTGCGTGATCTCCCCATTATCACAGCTCCCATCGTGGCCATGGGGCACTGGGGACATGTCCACATCCCAGTACACGATTGGAATGAGGTGACTGTGTGATCTCCCCATTACCACAGCTCCCATCACAGCTGCGGGCTCCCATCACTGCCCTCTGTGCTCAGCCTCCGCTCACAGATTCCTCTGGGATGTGGCACTTAGTTAAACCTTGCCTTAAAAACATGCTGGGAAGCCTCTCCCATCACTGCGTGTAAACAGGAACAGGAGTGCACGCAGAGCAGTGCTGCAGTCCCTCATTGTCCCCTTTGGCAGAGGGCCACCAGCCCTCCTCCTCTGAGGAAATGGCTTAGCTGTGTTACCGTCCAGCTCTGCCAGTTGGCTCCAACACGAGCTGTGTTTTATGAGGAGCAGCAGAAGGAAGCGGCCATGTTCCACAGAGGGCTTGGACCTCCTTAGGGGTCTGAATGAGTGCTTTGTGGGAGAAGCATCGTCACGAAGAAAAGCTGTGTGTGGAAATGGTGTGTTTTTGGCATCGATGTGATCTGCTTTGCTCGTGCCGTGGTTTCTCCAGGCCCACTGCATGCCAGGAGCTCCAGGCTCTCTGCCATAGGGCATCACAGTGCTGTCCCCTCTCCCTGATGTCCCCTGAGGAGCTTCAGGGCTGGGGCTGCATGGAGGTGTTAAAGAATGATAGAATCATAAAATCATTACAAGAGGGGAAATTTAGGCCAGATGTTAGGAAGAATATTTTTTACCCAGAGGGTGGTGAGGCCCCGGCATTGCTGCCCAGAGCTGTGAGTGTCCCATCCCTGGAGGTCCCCAATGCCACGGATGGGCACTGGGCAGCCTGAGCTGGGGGAGGGGGATGTCACCTAGCCCAGAGTACAGGGATTGGAGCTCAATGACCTTTAAGGTCTCTTCCAAACTAAGCCATTCTATGATGCTATGATTAAGGTTGTGACGGACACCCTAAGATCACACAGTCCAACCCCAACCCATCACACCGTGCCCATTGGCCATGTCCCTCAGTGCCACATCTCCACATTCCTTGCACATCTTCAAGGACCTCACCGCCTCCTGACCTCACCACCTCCCTGTGCAGCCTGTGCCAATGCATTACTACTCTTTCTGATAATAAACTATTTCTGATGTCCATGAAGTGTCCTGCGTGCTGTGGGGACACTGGACAAGCATGGAGAGCAGCCCAAGACTGGAATAAAGCCCAAAGCCTTGCAGCAAAGTCCAAAGCGTCACCTCCTTGTCCTGTCCCAAATGCTGCACAGCTCAGGCCCCATTAATTGCATTCCCTCCTTCACTGGGTGAATCCCGGCTCCTCTGGTCCTTCTGGGCCTTCACAAGGCTCTGCCCTTTGGACTGAGGACAGCAGGTCCCAAAACCTCATCCCTCCCCACCAAGAATCCCATTTGCTCCAAGTTTCTGCAGGCTGCCCCTGGGCAGAGCAGCTGGGAGATGAGCCGAGAACCCTCCCTTTCCACCCCCCTTGCTGATCTGCATTTGTTTTAAGGTCTCTTTCATGTACTCTTTGAGGCTCGTTTCCTGTTCTTTGTAGAAAACAATGCTTCCCTCCCCAGCCCCCCCTCGCCCATCCCAGGGCGGCTTTATGTCCCCTCCCTCGGGATTCACTGCGCTGGGTTCCCTCGTTTTAAGTTCGCCTTAAAACACGAAACCCCGCTCTGATTGAACCGAACTGATTTTAAAGCTGTGTCTGGTATTTGATGTCTGCTAGATGCATTTAAACGGATCTCAACTTTCTGCGTTGGGCAAATCAGCACGAAACTGGTAATTCACTGTGCAAGGGACAGGGATAGGAAGGCTGGGATCTGAGTGCTGACTTGGGGCAACATTCAGGTCTGAGGCTCTGTGCAAGCTGCAGTGAAGATGCTCAGAATAACGCGTGATCTATTATACAACACGATGTCATGTCTGTGCTTTGCACTGCTTGAACTGCTTTGTTCTTAGCACAGTGCCTCTCTGAGTGGATCCTGCACAAATAGGGCATCGCTGCTGCCTGCACCACAGTGACTTTCACACCACGCTGTACTCGTATCCCAGCACAGAGATGAGATTCTCCAGGCCTCCTGGTTGCTGTGAATCCCAGGCACCCAGTCCTGCTGGGATATACTGGGATCCAACCACAGGAGACCAGAGCAGCTCCCCCAGCAGCACCTTGGTGCCCATATGGAGGTGGAGGAGCATTTCACTGGGGGCATCTCACTCCTAAGATGGGATGCGTGGGAAGGTGCAGTGATCTTCTCCCTTAGCTGAAGGAAATAACCCAAAGATTCTGTTAGGGATTTAGAGACAAATAAAGCATCGACTGCGAGATGAGAAAAACAGTTTTGCATCCAAAAGCCCAGCAGGGAGGAGGCGGATAAAGATAACAGTTCTCTGAAGCCATGAAGAAGGAATTCCATGATTCTTACTGCTGAGAAGCGGGGCTTCGAAGCTTGCAGGACTGCTCGGTGCCAGCAGAGGGAAGCATCTCCCCGGCTCCGGATAGACCTTATATCGGCCTTCAGTGCCTACAGGAGTCCACAGGAAAGATGAAGAGGCACTGTTTATACGGGAGTGTAGCGATAGGATAAGGGGCAGCGGCTTTCAGCTAAAAGAGAGGAGATTTAGATTGGGTATTAGGAGAAATATCTTTGCCATGGAGGTGAACAGGCTGCCCAGAGAAGCTGTGGATGCCCCATCCATGAAAATGCTCAAGGTTGGATGGGGCTTTGAGCATCCTGATCCAGTGGAAGGTGTCACTGCCCATTGGGTTGGGACTGGATGGCTGTTAAGGTCCCTTCCAACCCAAACCATTCTGTGATGGATGATTCTATGGCCACCAGGCCAAGAGGGCAAGGATGAGATGCCCAAAGGGTTTGGATGCCTCCAGGCACTTCAGCTCAGTGCCTGGAACAGAAGCTGTTGTCTGGGGGCTCCCAAAAGGTAGCAGGGTGAAGGAGGCACATCCAGGAGGAGGTTCAGCCTGATTTTGCATCTGACTTGAACACTGTGCCTCCAAGAGCAGGCAGGATCGATCCCCAAGCAGAGGCACTGCAGCTCACGTGCAGTATTTCCCCAGTGTGGGATAAAGTCACGATTCTCTCCTATTTGCAGTGTTGCTCTTTTATTGGTGATTCTCCTAACGGTGCACGTGGGACATCAGTCTGTCTACCCTGAGATTTTTGCACAGCAAGGGCCCTACAAGCTTTGCAGTTTGTGTTTTAATATTTTATCTGCTAGTCCCTGACTGGAAAAGAAAATCCAACCACTCTCAGTGGAAATTATCCGTCCTGCTGTGTGACTCACAACAGAGGCTGTATCAGGTTTGAAACATGCAGGTGGCAGACAGACACCCGCTGGTTCCTTTGGACTCTTTACAGATAGATTTTTTTCAATCCCAGCCCAGGGGTTCCTCAGTCCAAGATGATTTATTCTCTCTGCTCTGCAGGAATTAGCTCTGCCTTATACCTGTGTAACCATACAACAACAAATCGCAGCTCCTATCTCAAAGCAGATCTGGAGGCACCTTGCCCATCACTGAACTGTCCAAGAGCCGATAGAGTAGGGAAGCTGTATCCCAGCACCCTCCAGGGATGATGCCAGTGCCTTCTGGGCCACTTTCTCCCAGCAAGAAGACCCTGAGCATCATTTGCACCTCATTCATGCTTGGAAATGTGGACTGGGACCATGGAGGCTGCAGCCTCAGGGCAGTGGGGATGTGTACAGCCCCTAGTGCAGGATGGGGTGCTTTCAGCCTCACCGCAGCACAGTTGTCATCTCTGAGCTGCCTCTGATGGTTTGCAATACCTGGAGAGAAAAAAAAACAAAGGAAGGTGGTGGATAATTACTGTTTTTGCCAGCTCTGTAATGTCTTCCAGCTCAGCTGGACCAAACAAAACAACGCCACGTCATTATGGCTATTACTGCGTTGTGCTACCGCAGGATTTCAGATCCTCTGTGAGGAGTCAGCACTGAGGGAGACCACAGAGAAAACCTGTCCTGGGAGCTGGCAGGAGGCACGCAGCTCCAGCGAGAAATAAACTTCAGGTGCCTCAGGCCCTGAGATGCACCACGGCTGCTGGGATGAAGCACTGCTGTGCTGGCACAGATCTCTCCATAGACACTTAGAAAAATTGGGATTTCTCTTTTATCACACCACAGCTCAGCCAAAGTTGCTCTTGCTGCTGAGTTTGTGCAAATATTGTTCTTGCAGGAGCAGCATCACAACAAGAGCATCTCTGGATGAGCTGGAGCTTGTCCTCATCACCTCCGCAGAGCCATGAGCGTGCCGGGGCCGCTGTGCTCTGTGCACAAAAAGAGGATTTGGGAAACTGTTCATTGGGAAATAGTCCCATGGGTGCCACAGGGAGAGGTGGGTTGGGCTGCAGATGGGACAGCTCCATCTCCTTGTTCCCATCGCAGTGCCAGGAGATAGGCAAGGACATGGCCTGGAGGCTGGGTTCCCAGGGCTGCCTCCTCCACTGTCACCGGTGTTGTGCAACCCTTCCCTCCTTACAGAGGGTGTGGGCAGGAACCCTCTCACACGGATGCAGTTTGGGGTGCAGCTGAGCTTTGGAAGTGGCCGTGCACCGGCACCAGCGTGGTCCACCCTTTGTGCCATGTTCTGCACCGCAGTTGCATCCAGCCCTGCATTATGGTCACCACAAAGGTCTACAAGAGAGAGGTGCAGTCATGATGTGAGGATGTTTTATTGTGCAGCTGCTGCGCTCAGACTGCTGCACAGGCACAGGCTGCTTAATGGCTCGCAGAAGGACACGAGCATTGCTTGTTATCCAGCAAGGCTGAGTTGGAACCACAAAGGATGATCTCTGCATTTTATCTGCTTTAGGAAAGAGGAGGATGGCTCGTGCCAGGTGGTGGTTTCAGGTGGATGGAGAGGGATCCAAGCACATGGGATGAAAGGTGCATCTATGCACACAGGTGGGAAAGCAGATGAGGCAGTGGGGATGAGCAGAGTGGGTGGAGAGCTGCAGGAATGGGACTGGAGGTTTTCCAGGTCTGACCAAGCTGGAGGGCACCAACACAGCCAGCAGGCAGCGGGTTTAAAGCAGGTGAAAGGAAGCACTTCTCGACCCAGCATGTAGTTAAACTGGAGCTAAGTGCTGTAGGGCATAGCCTCAAAAATGGCCTTCAAGAAACTGAGATACATGTACATTGCATGGCTCTGCTCTGACCTATGAAATATGACAGCCCAGGACCTCCAGCCAAGGAAGTGCTAAGTCACCGACCACCAGAAGATGGGGCAGGATTGTTTCCTGCTTCCTTCCTTTTTACAATCCTTCAGAGAACAGATACTGCCATGGGCAGGACCATAGGATCATGGGACCATAGAATCATGGAATCATTAAGGTTGGAAAAGACCTCTAATGTCCCCAGGCCCAACCCAGCCCATCCCACCATGCCAACTAACCTTGTCCTCAAGAGCCACATCCCCACGTTTCTTGAATAGTTCCAGGGATGTTGCCCTCACCACTTCCCTGGGCAGACTGTTTCTTCTTTGCTGCTTACAGAGTTAGAAGGAAAGCACCAACTCCCCATGCTTTACTCTGTTTTTCTCAATGAAGAGCAGTGGATGGGGGTGACCATAGTGATTTCTCCCTTCCTGACACAAAGGCATCACCTCCTGCTTTCTGCCTAGCAGGGAGGAGAGTAAAGGCACCGGGGGGTCTCCCCTCGAGGACTTGGCAGCCTCTGGCTCCCAGGGCTGCTGCCAACACTGCTATTGGGTCTCTCACCAAACTTGCACAAAACGTCACGATCTCCTCCTGCCAAAGCTTTGCGCCACTCTCAGAAGGGATTGCAGTGCTGGATGAACATGGTGCAAAATACTGCCGGGCTTCTGCCAGCTTGGATGGAAAGCTGCAGACTCAGCTCAAGTGAGAAGGAGTCTTCTCCTCATCTCTTTCCATTTTTGAGTCTCTTTAGAGTCAGGAAGCTTCCAAGTAGGAAAGGATAGAAGGGTTGGTTAGCAAGGATCTGCCCTGCCCTGCTCAATGTGATACTTCTCAGGACTCGAGCAGCCCTCACTGTGTACGTGTCCAGCTCTGCTGGAGCTCTTCCAGTGCTGCTGAGAATGAGGGGATTTTCTCTCTCCAGATGCAGATAGCTTGGGCTTTGGAAAGAGAAAAGTCCATGTTCAGCCCCTGCACACGCAGCAGCTCCTGCTGGGTTATGCAAGCCTGAGTCTGCTGCGCGTGTACATGACCACACTGAGGAGTGCATGTGACAGATGACAGCAGTGGCAGAACTTCGTTTAATTATCACTGTTATTGTTGTTCCTATAAGCAATTAAATGATTTGGTTTTTAAAACAAACCTGTATTTCAAAACAAGCATAGCGGGTGGGGGGTGTCAGTTTGGCAAAGGATATTCAGTTGATTGTAAGGCATCCTGCCTGGAGCAGAGATAATAGAGTGCCTGGGTGGTTGCTCAATGATGATGGATTGGTAGGGAATTGCTCCTGGACCCTGTGAGCAGCCCTCTGGGGCCTGACAAGGCTTGTGCTCTGCTCTTCCGAGGGCTGGCTTGCACAAGGGCTGGGGCAGTGATGTTGTAAAGATCAGGTGGGTCAGCCCTGAGAGCCACACCTCGCGTGGGGTGCCATCCATCTTCGCTGTCACTGCTGCTGCTTTTTGGTTGCCTGGAGCCCTTGAGCTGCGTGGTGGAGAAACACGGATATTTACAGCTCTGCAGATGTGCACAGGAGCAGTGCATGGCTCCCGCTAGGCTGCGCAGCAGCAATGGAGACGGATGCTTTCATTTGGCACTGTAAAGCTCATCCGGCTTTAGCACATCTCCTGCTGCTGGTTTTATATCTTCCAGACCATGGTTTGCTAAACAGCTTCCAAACCAAGTGGAGGCTGCAATTCCTGCCCTGTGGAGCTGTGAATGTTAGGGATTATCCAACTGCTCAATGTTAGCAAGGCTCCCAAGTCACTTCCCTGTGCCTTTATACCTGGCAGCAGGAATTGCTGCTCCATATCCAGCATATCCACCTGCCCCAGGACCCTCCTGGATGTGGGCAGTGAGATGGAATGGGGTAGTGGGCAGCCAGAATACCTGAGTTCCCCTCTTGGCTCATCCAGTGTGAGAACTGGGATGAGTCCTTCATCTCCATCCACCCCAGGGCTCTGATTCATGTGTGCTGAGCACACAGCAGTGGGTCTGTGGGATGCCTGTGCACCCTCCTCACCATCCACCAGCAATCACAGCCCTACAATGAGCATATGGAGGCACGTGCCCCTGAGCCACAGCTTCTCCTGATGAATTGCCTAAAGCCTCCCACAGCAGTGCAGATGGAAACCTCCATGTGAGCTGCCCTGCTTTAAGCCCCCTTGCTTGCACTGCCAGCTCATGGCTGTCCCACTCTGTGGGGGATGGCAAACCACAAAGCCCAGTGTGCTATGTCCTGTGTTAAAAGCAAGGGGGAGAGGAGGCAGGAGCTCTCCGGTGGGAGGTAAGGACTTCTGGGGGTTGTCTCCATACAGCTTTCTTGTAAACTTTAACCCCGTGCTCTCCACCTCCAGCCCACCCCACATCCCTGCTGCCCTCAGGCAGGAGGATGCAGCCATTATGAGGAGCTGGGACAGAGGACTCAGAAGGAAATCAGCCCCTCTCCCTGTGACTTGAACACTGCTGACTGATGAATCAGGGAAGATGCAGATTCCTGGCATCCTCCCGTTACTTATTCATCGTGTGGCACAGGACACATCAGTGATGCTCAGCACTTTGCTCATGCAAAGGATGCCAGAGCTTTGGGGGTGGGAAAACATTCTTTTTGAAGGTGGCTGCATGAGGCAGGCATTGTGTGTCCAGGCAATGCCTTATTCTCAAATCCCCTCTCTGCTTCTCTCTCTGCATCTCACTGTGAGCCCATGGTACCCTGGGCACCTTCAGCACACCAAGTGCCATCCAGAGGCTGTAAGTGCATAAGAAGCAAATTTCATCCCAAGTTTCTCCAGCACAGCAGTGAAGACATCCAGGGACAAGAGCAGCCTGCTGGGCTCTGAGCTTTGAGCTGCAGTGTCTGTCCCAGAAAGAAGCTTTGTCTTAGTGGCACGCAACGTGGCTCAACCATGCTATATGATAAATGCTGCAGTAATTAACTACCATTGCATTTCAAAATCTATGTGGATTTGTGGAGTTCTTGTAAGCCCTGACATCTCTGGGAAGTGTTGCATGACTCAGGTCTCCCTTTTTATAGAGGTATGAGAAAAAATAGTTACACTTACCAAAGAGTTCCAGGGTAAATTCAGCCCGGGCAGCCTGGAAATGTCACAGCAAAGCAGGGGTGTGAGCCTGAGCCTCCGGGACTGCATGCACAAGGACAGAGATAGGGATAGGGACTGAAACAGAGATGGGGATGGGGACAGGGACAAGGAAAGGGACAGAGACGGAGACACGGGCAGGAACACCTCAGGTCTTGGTCAGACCCTGTCTGGTGATGCTGAACCTGATGCCTCCCCTTCTCCATCAAGACAAGCTGGTCAAATAATGAGCTTCTATCCTTAAGAAAGCAATGTAGTTCTTCTTCTCCCAACCCTATGTGAAGGAAAATGGTGTTGGTCTTCGGGAAAGGTGCAACTACTGACAGTTTTCATGATGAATGAGGATTGAGGAGGAAAACGTATGCAAAGCAGTCACACAGAGGTGTCCCATACAGCCAATTCTTTCACTAAATAACAAAACTTACAGCTAGAAGAAGTGTGATTTATCTTTGGTAATACATGGCAGCCATTGGGGGAAAGTTGAAAAGTGGCTTGAATTTAATCTCTGGAAATGAATGCAGTTTGCTGCATGGTTTTTTTTTGAGGACTGAAAATGGTTATACTTTTTATTAAGCAGCAATCCAAAGGAGGCTGTGCAGATCTGTTCCTCCCTTAGGAAAACCAGGGCTGGGAGCACAGCGTGTGCGCCTGCGCAGGTAACCTGCCTAGGGGCAGGCGGATGATTTCAGGCTGCATTTCTACCTGCTCTTCCAACCCTTCCAGCTCACGCTTCCCTGCCCTCCCTCTCTGCCCCTGCCCATTTGGGAGCACAGATATAAACCCTCCAGCCAATATGTTTCCTGTGGGGGACAGTGAGCTTTGCCTGGAGGGTGCTTATGGCTCTCACCTCATCCCAAAGCTGTCCTTAAAGACGGAGCGAGGAAGTTCACTGCCTGCAACCACAGAAGCTCCAGAAGCAGGGCAAGTTGTTCTCCTGACAATTGACCTCTCTCACAGGTAAGCACTGCTGGGATGAGCAGCAAGCAAGCAGCTGCTGGGTACTGCTTCTCTATTCCTTTCTGCTTCTCCTGTGCATGTCTCCAGCATCCCCTCGCCTCTTCTTGACTCAGCGAGGAGATGGGGTTTACCCTCCTGAGTCTGTTTATTTGCTCACTTGCAGATAGGTTTTACCCTCCTGGGTCTACTTCTTTTCCTATGCAAGTACTTGCGTTGCTGTAAGCAAGTGATGCACAACACCAGGGAGCAGCAGCTCATCCCTGCGGTGCACATGAGCCCATGGAAACCCAACATTGCAGAGTCAGGGCACAGCCCAACCCACCTGCATCTCCTTTCTGCTGCTTTCATTGATGCAGTCTCACCTGCTTGGGGGGAACCAGCCTGGATTAAAGAAAAGATGTCATTAACTTGTAATTGGAAGGGAGCAGTGGAGGTTTATCCACAAGTCAGTTTGCCTGATAGAGGCAGGAGGCTGCAGACGAGCTTGTTTGCGGCCGTGTTGCATTTGCAGGCTTTCTGCCTTTGAACTTCTTGGGAAGTGAAGCAGAGGAAACTGGTTGCTTCCCAGCCTTGCATACCTATGGCCACTGCTGAGCTCAGCGGTGTTCCTCAGCTGCTGTAAGCAGAGACCCAGCTTCTCCATAATAAAACAACTAACCAAAGAGCGATTTTAAGATAAACTTCCCTTCCTTGTGCTAGACCCAAAGCTGAGAGGGATTTAAAGGGAACGCTGCTTTCCACTCATTTCTTCCTGTGCCTTGGGCATGCTCAGTGCCAAAGAGCCACAGCAGCCCCAGGAGCACCAGTGTCCCCAGCACTCAGCCCCAGGGTCTGAATGATGTTCCCAAACCTCCGGGTTTGGCACCCGTCTCTGTCAGCCTCCAGAATAGCTCCAAAGCCTCAAGGATTTGTGAACAAGGAACTTGATCGGAACATTGATTTTTCCAAAGGCTGAGAAATGATGTGCAGATGGAGGGTAGGAAAGTCTTTAGCACAGGGAAAAGAAATGAAGAGGAAAGGTTGGGTTTTGGTTAGAATCCTGCTCAGCAATGCAATTCCTCCTCCATCAGAGGCCAGGCTGAGGATAAGAGGTGTGAAGCTTGGATGCCTTTCACTGGGCTGATTGCACTCAAAGTGGAATCACTGCTGGCAAAGGGACGCAATCCCAGGCCTTTGCTCCATGCCTCAGGAATCTGGGAACACCCCAAGTCTGAACTGGTGCTTGCACTGAGCTCCAGCCCTGGGGTGAAGGCTGCAAAACGATGAGAAAGGACGGAGCCAATGAGCAATAAACCCTGCAGAGCTCCACTCCCAAAAGGTAGCGCACAGCCCATGAGGTGTGGGGAAGTCCTCTTGGCAGCAAGATCTGAGTCATAAAGAAAGTGAAGCAAAGACAGAAGGCAGGGTGACAAGGGCAGGGCTGGGACATGGAGCAGCAATGACCCCCGAAGAGGGATGTTAGTGTTATAGATGTGGCAACGGTGGCCATTCCAAGCTCAGAGCTCAAAGATATTTCCTAGGGTGATTTGTGACTTCTGATTGCGGGGAGAGAGCAAGAAATGTCTGCAATGCAATGTGTGCTGGGAAGAAGATGAATCTTTCATAGCAGGGTAAGGATGCTGTGCAACATGAGCGCGTGCAGGTGTGCAAGGGGCCAGTGGGCAGCACGCTTCTCCCCATTCCATTTGTGCACGCAGGTGCATGACTAACCCACTCCTCTCCTTCTGCCCAGGCAACCCAACGATGCCGAGCATATTCTCCTACCAAAGCTCTGAAATTGACTGGTGTGAAAACAACTTTGTGCACTCGCCGATCATCGCAGAGTACTACAACACGGTGAGTGTTGGGCATCCCGAGGGCAGTGCTGCCTTTGGGATACAGGATGGGATCGGTCAGCCACGTTTGCTCTCCTGCTCTGAGCTTCCTGCTGTTAGAGGGTGTTTAATTGGGGAGCTGTACGTAAATCCTTGGGGGTTTGCTGCCCATAAGCAGAGCTGGGGTAGGGGATTCTCTGGGCACACATGGGGCTGAGTTCCCACTGAGCAAAGTCTGGCAGTGCTCCTTAGCCCAGATTGGTGAGATCCTGTTATACCAGTCCTGCAGCTCGCCTGCCAACTGGGGTAAGTCCCACACAGGGCTCGTATATTCCAGCTAAATGTACAGGAGTGGCAGAACGAGAGACAGCACTTGCATGAACCACGTTGGGCAGGTTGGGAATCCGGAACTCTGGGCAGAGGAAAGCTGATGAGGGAGTTTCACCTCCTGTGATCCCCTTTGTAATCAGGCTCCTTCCAGCACCAGTCCCACATGCACTGACATCCATCTGCAGACACCCGCTGTCTGCGAGTGCGTCCCTCTGCCTCAATGCAATTAGTGCTGGCAGGGGCATGAGGCCATTTACAGCCTTCCAAAGGCCTTGTTTACAACCTTCAGCAATTACCTTTGAACACTGGAAGTTCTTGTTTCTCATGGAAATGTCTCTTCCTTTTTTTTTTTTTTTTAAGCATTTCCTGTTTTTAATAAATGACCTCTAATAACGATAATACCCTCTCCAGTCACACAGTTCCAGTTGACCTGACAGGGTGGTGCAGGAGGGATGCTTGGGCTGTGTGCAGTCCCTTCTCTTTCAGGCACTGAAATAAGGACCTGCTGGTCCTGCTGCCCCCCAGCACACAGCTCCTGGTCTGTGCTGTCTGCTGGTTCTATGCCCCTGATGGATGAGCACAGGGTGCAGAGCAAAGGGGTGCAGAAGTCACTGATGCTCCCAGCAGCATTCTGAATGTCGCTGGAGGTGCCAAATGCCTCTGAGTTTGAGAATCTCATTGGCAACACTGGTGAGGGGCTTAATTCCAAACAGATCAGAAAGTCTGAAATCAGAATTAATACTGGGAGAAAGATTTGCCCAAGCTCTGAGGTCAGCACTCAGGTAGCATTTTTCCAACGTGTCTTCAGAGCTGAGACCACATTTTTACAAGGACTGTGATTTATACCTGTGCTGTTGGAGTGGCTCAGGATCACACCAAGAGGTACCTCAGGAGCTCAATCCTGTGTCTGAGCTCCCAGTGGCACGCTGCCAGACCCCAGCTGCTATGGTCAGGTGCACAACCGTCCTCCTAATGTCCCAAAGTCCTCTGAACCTCATAAAACATTAACTCTTAGATCTCTGCTTTTGCAGCAGAGGAAACCACTCCTGCAGTTTCTGGCTTGGGATATAATTCTTGTTTAGGGAATGGCCAAGATCAAGACTTGCCTTGCTGCCTGCAGCAGGACTGGTGTGTGGACTTCTCTCCAAAACATAGGAGGTGGGAGAGCAAACTCTGAGGAACCATTGCTGTCTGAGCAATTAACAACAATCCCCAGGGCTACACTGTGCTCAGAGCAGAACAGGGAATCCAAAGCCAGTAGAGCATCACCTCCATGGCATCGCCCTTGGTCCATGCAGGCTGGCTCTCAGCCCTGCAGCACTGGGAAACACTCTGCTCAGAGCATCATCCTAGGTGTGATTCCAGTGTCCTGTGTCTCCCTCTCTTCTCCATTCCTTTGTTCCCCACGTTCAGATCTTCAGATCGCTCCCTCCCTGCTCAGGCTTTATGGACCTTATCTCACTGCCCTGCCTGGAGACAATTATATCAATATTGACTTCAGCACCGCTTTGTCAGAGTTTTAGACTAGCTGGGAACCCAGCCAGCTCCTACCCAAATCTCCTAAAGCAGCAGGGCTTCCTAATGGAGCATCCTTTCTGCATCTTCTTCCCAACACTGCCCATGGCTCCAGCTGGAAGCTCTGTGTCAGCAGCAACATACTGCTGAGCATCGCTCTGCAGCAGCCGCTCTCACTCTCATCCCTGCCTGGGTTGGATGCTTTTTATTAGGAATAAGCACCAGGGGTATGAGCAGAGAATGTAAACAATATCGTTAAGTCCCTAATAATTAATACATTGTGGCTCATGATTGCACTGCAGTTCAGTGACAAACTGCTAACTATTTATAGTGACTTGGTGACCCAGAAATTTATTGTCTTCTGGCTGTTTACAGGAGAACAGTGTTGTGCTACATGAGGGTCATCAGTCAAGGACCTGTCATTCTACTCCCTTTTTTTTTTCCTGCAATAACCGATGAGGATGCTGGTAATGACATCCAGATCCTCAGCACTCTCTGGCTAAGCACCAGGAGTTCTCATATTGTCAGATAACCACAGCTCCATTGATCAGCGGAGATAAGCCTGGCTGCAGGTGTAAATCACCCAGATATGCCCAGATACTCCAGCTGGAGCTCAGTAGCCCCATGGCAGTGGGGACACCTCACACCCTTCTCACCCTGCAGTTTGTCTGCAGTCACACTGCTGCTTGCTACCCCAAACACGGTGTGACACCACGATGCAGGATGGGCAGCCCCAGCTTCTGGCTGTTAGGAACTTGCTCTGCAAGTCCAGAGAGCCTTGGAGATACTTGCTTCTGTCTTGAGCTCTGCAGGCTCTGCTGTCAATGAAAGCCAGGTCTTTGGTCTTTAAGGGAGTGAATGCACTGCAGCAACACTCTGAGAAATCTCCTTCCTCTGCAGAGAATCATACAATCAGAATTCCAGAATGGTTGGGTTGGAAGGCTCTTAAAGGTCATTCTGTCCAGCCCAGGCCATGGGTAGGGCCATCTCACACCAGATCCATCCAGCCTGGCCCTAAGCACATCCAGGGATGGGGCATCCCTATCTGCTCTGTGGCAGCACACACCTGGGTTGCCACTGTCTCATCTCTGTGCTCACAGAGCACACCAGCACCTGCTGTCCCAATCCATCCCAGGAAGCCATTCACACTCTGCTGTGCATGGAGAAGCGGATGGCCCTCTGCAGGGCTTTCCTTTCCTTTTAGGCTGCACAGTGTACATTGCACAAGCCCTGGGGCCTTTCCCGTGATCCTGCTAATGCAGCAGGATTACAGACATGTCACTGATCCCAGCTTCACTTTTCTCCAAGGAAAACAAGCAGGGCTGGGACCTGACAGGTGTTGAAGACCCCCACTTGTGGGTCCCTCGCGGTTCTGCCCCAAGCTCTGAGCCTGGCTGCTCTGCAGGGAATCACTGCAATCTGCTGGCACGGTTCTCCTGATCATCCCTCCCTGCTGATATCTGATCTTGCACTTTTCAGGCTGAATTAATGAAGTGATAATGTTGCTATCATGTAATTAATGGTGCTGTTGCAATGCCCACTGCAGCAGGGATCCGGACCTCCCTGTGTGCAATCTCAGACTCCTGCGTTTCCTCACTTGGACACACATGCTGGCACTTGCATGCTGCTGTGTCTTCTGCAAGCATTTGCTCTCTCCTTGTGATCCCTGCCTGTTTTCCAAAAGCCTCTTGAACCATTTCACAAGAAAAGAAATGCTTACAACGCAGTTGGTTACTTTAACACATAGTTTGGTTTCGTGATCATTTCCAAATAGTCTGACCACAAGCGTGCAGTGGAACCAGCACTTCCCTTCTCGTTTTGGAACAGAGACAGGCCTAGATTTGGCTATAAGCACCCACAGAGAACCAATACATTTGCCCTAAGAATTGCTGTTCATAGGCACATGGACTGGTTTCATGAAAACCGAAAACCACAGTGAAATTCAAGATTGATCTCTGTTTGTTGAAGGGAATTGAGGCCTTACATTAAGCATGGAGGGTTCTTCCCTCTGCAATGTGAGGGGGTGTACTTCACATGTATGACAACATCCATGGGATTTGCAGCCCTCTTCCTTTAAACTCACATCCCTCTTTGCCATTGCAATGTACCTGGTGCACAGTGGGGATGTACAGGGGTGAGCCTGCAGCTTTGGGGTGACACTCTGGGACAGTGTCTGGCTGGAATATGAAAGGAGAATTGTCAAGGCGAGATAAAAGCTGTGCTGGTGGCTGGCCAAATAACAGCATGGCAGATGGCTGTGCTTGGCTCTTCCAAACCCCACTGCATTGCCTGGCAGGTGGAACATTCCACTAGATCCCAACCTTTCATGCGCACGAGAAATTTTCCATGGGGACACACACTGAGCTTCCTCGTGATACTCCATTTATTGTGTTTGCACACCAGGTGACAATGCCTCACTTGCAGAGGTGAGGACTGCTTCAAACTCTCTTCCTCCCTTGCTGCAGGGTGGAAAGGACCTGATCCAGCAGTCAGGTGCAGGCGTAGAGCACTCCCTGCTCCTTCCCAGCTCCCATATTCTGCCCATCAGCATCTGCTGCTTCTCGAAATGCTGGCATTGTCACCAGGCTGACTCCCCACGCATTTTCCTCCACCCCAGCTGCACCAAAGCCTGGCAATGCAGCAACTGTGCAGAGCTGGAAAACAGGGATGAATTATTTTGCTGCATTCATTCACAAAGCATGTTCAGATAACTTTTATGACTTCATTTAATTACCGGTGTCCAGAGTACCTCCCTCCCTAGGGCAGGTGGCTTTGCACGTGACAACACAGGATGTCACTTCAGTCCAGCCCCACCTATGGGTGTCCTTCTGGTCCTGCTGCTGTCCATTGCACCTGGTTCACAGAGGCATACCCTGAGCTTGCTGTCCTCACAGAGAGCACAGCCCAGCTGCTGTCACATAATAGCCATCCTTCAAGCCTCAGCCTCACATCTCAAGAAATGCTTCTGCCCTGCCAAGAGCAATGCCTCCACACAGTGCTTTTCTCCAGAGATCAGTATCCTCTTCACATGGGAACATACTGAGACAGGTGGGATGGGACCTGCCCAAGATCATGCAGTAAACTGACTGTGCCTCTTGTTTTGCAGATCAGCAATGTATGCTTCTTCATCCTTTCGGCTGCCCTGCTCCACCTGAACCGGCAGTATTGCCAGCAGCGCACCGTGCCCATGTACTTCATCTCTGGCCTTCTCCTCTGTGTAGGTGGGTGCCAGTTTCATGAGACCAGGCTGCAAAGCATTCATTCATGCTACCTTTAGCTTTTGAAATGCGTATGTAGTGGCCAAAGCAAGGGGCAAGCTGGGGTGAGGAACTGGACAGCCATGTACATGTGAAGCTCATGGCTCCTGCTGGCTCTGGGTACAGAGCTTCATGCCCTGTAAAGCCCTGGGTCTTCCATTCATGCCAAGGTCCACGTTCTGCCTTTCAGGAATGATGTTTCTCTAAGAAATGTCTTAAGTACTTCCCAGTCCAGACAGGCTTCTCCTGGAACAGAGCTGCACTGACACAAGCTGTCCTCATTCCCTGCAGGTATCTTCTCCATGTACTTCCACATGACCCTGAGTTACGTGGGACAACTCTTGGATGAGCTCTCCATCCTCTGGACACTGGCTGTTGCATATTCCTTTTGGTACCCAAGGGCTCACTTCCCCAGGTGCATCAAAAGCAGGTATGGCTCAGTGGGAAATGAGTTTCCAGGCTGCAAGGGATGGGAAACTGCTGTTGATATGTGACCCTACAAGCCAGGTCTCAGCATTTTGCTCTTTGGCCAGACCCTACACTACTCACTTCTGGATCCCTACAGGGGGCACAAAACCCCTGGAAAGGGCTGTCCAGAGCTCCTGTTGCCTGGAGCTGCCTGCCTTCACAAAGCTGTACAAGAAGCTTTGCATGAAGGATCTCAAAAAGAAGAGATTTGGGCAAGTTTTTTTTCTTGGCGTGATTGGATGGGGATAGCTGTGTTAGGAACATGGGGACTGCTCCAGCTTGTGCACATCTTTGAAGGGACTGGAAGTCCTGCCAGCCTTTAGGGGAAGCAGAGAACCATCTGGGGCAGTGCAGGACCTGGGCACTTCACACACACTAGGAAATTACATGTTCCTGAGCACTGACATTGAATTACCCATGCTGTCAAACTCTGGTAGCATCCCCTGCCATTATCAGAGGGGATGGGGTTTCCCAAGATAACACCCCGTGTTGCAAAGGGTGTTTGCAGAAGGGCTGGCTGGTTGCAGCAGGATGGATGAAGAGACTGAGATCAGCAACAGGAGCTCAGCAGAGTTTTGTTAAGGGGATGCTCCCGTCCTGGCAGGCTTGCTGGTGCCCTCTGATACAGCCCTTAACAGAGCTCGCTCCCATCCCGCTCCTCCCATGCCACGGAGGAGGTCACCGGGAGTTCACTGTGGAGACATGGCTGGGGGAGGCAGCGAGAGGGGAAGGGACTTGGGAAGGGATTTGCATGTGAAAGGCCTCTCCGAGCCCTATTGTTGCTCAGTCAGCCCGAATCCGCGCTGCTGAAGGCCCTGCCCCCGCTGCTGGGACAGCAGCTCTGCAGCCCTTTGCACAGCTCCATGCCTGGCTCAGGCATCGCCATGGCAGTGCACGAGTCATCCTCGGCTCTGTCCTGGACCGACCAGGGGATTTAGCAAAGCAATTTCTCGGGCAGTTCTTGAGAAACATAAAATATATCCCGGCTTTCCTGCCAGGACTTCTGCAGAGCCTGAGGACAGTCATATGCAAACAGGTTGGAGGTGCTGGAGGGTGACTAGCAACAGCCAGCACCATCCTTTACCTGCTGCACTGTGAACACTGGAGGCACTGATACTCACTCCTAATTCTGTCATCCCTTTAGGAAGCAATTCTACTGGTTGGGTGGTGTCACCACGGTGATCACCACCTTGATGTCCTTCATCAAACCATCCATCAATGCCTATGCGCTCAACTGCATCGCCTTCCACCTGCTGTACCTGACCTGGCGCGAGCTGAAAAAGTAAGGAGGAGGTTGAGAAGTTCATCTCTGCCATCTCTGCAGCTCTTTCTCCTTTGTGCGGGATTTGGGAACCAGTGTGGGGTTGAGGGGAACCCACTGGGATCTGGGGAGAAAGACAAAGATGTGTTAGCATCTTGTAGCATCAGTTTCACCCACTGAAGGTCAGAAATTCCTTCTGCAGAGCCACACTTCTCCAGTTCTTGTGGTCTGATGAATATACTCGAGCAGAAACCCACCAGGTTTTTCCCTGTTGCATTAGCACATGCAGACAGGAACCTGCCGGCCCTTTTTTCAAACTCACTTTCCTTCCGTCCTTCCAACACAGCTCCCTTCTCCCTCTCCTCTCACTGTTTTCCAGGTGCAATGACCAACGTGTTCACCGGATGGCCAAAGCCATGGTGGTGTGGTGGGTGCTGGCCATCACCAGCTGGTTAAGTGACAGGTGGCTTTGCTGGCTCTGCCAGGCGATCAACTTCCCTTATTTCCACAGCTTCTGGTAAGTCTCCAGCAGAGAGAGAGGAAGCCTGGCTTAAATGTTTCAGAGCTGAAGGGCCACAGAGGAGGAGGGAGGACAGGAGGGATGTGGTACTCAAACAGGGAGCAGCTGCATCTGTGCCTACCCCTCTCCCACTTTGCTCTGTCACTGTTGATGCTGCTCCTCATCCTGGCCCCACCCCAAGGATTCATCCTAATCACTGCTTAATATCCCTTACCTCCTCCACACCAACAAATGTGAAATTGTTCTAAAACCACTGCAGGTAAGCCGCTTCCTTTCAAGGCACTACATCTGCTCCCAGGAAGCCATACAAAGTGCAATGCCCTTTATTTTAACACCAAACTGAAAGACAGTGATTTGCTTTAGGAAGACATTTCAGTCCCTCACCAAACATTGTTGTAAGTGCCATACAATGTGCACTTTCACTTTCATCCTCACAAGTAACTGGGATGACCAATTCAGACACCCAGACCTTCTGTGCTAAGCCAGGCAAAGTGAACGGGGTGATTCGGGGTTTAAGTCTCCTGTGTCACCCCAATTGCCCCAAACCCAGCTCTCAGAGCTCTTCTGGGATTTCTCTGTAGGCATAAACCCTGCAGGACCCATAGATCTTGTATACACTGCAGGGTTGGGACATTTGCCTGCCATTGCCATGCCCTCAGGGTGACAACTTCAGCCACACACAGTCACAAGGTGCAGGAGGGCTGGTAGTGTTACTCCTCTCCCACATCTTTTTTGGTTCCTTGACAGGCACGTGCTGATAGCTGTGTCCCTCCTCTACTGCTTCCCACTGGTCATGTACTTTGACGTCACCTACGAGATGCCAACATTCAAGCCAAAACTGGGATATTGGCCCAGCGACTCCTGGCCCATCGTGGTGCCTTACATTGCCTTGGAGGAGCCTCACAAGCAGTGCTAGAGCCAGCTGCATCCTTCAGCCATGGGGTGTGTGATGCACACACGTGCATCTGCACGGGAAGCACCTCAGCTGTGTGCCTGCTCCCTGGACAAGGGCAATGTGGCTGGCGGATGGGGCAGGGAGCAGCTGAGGCCTCGTGGTGCTGGGCATGAAGGAGGGTGGGAGCCCACAGACTAGGAGACTGCCCAGGCCAATGCTGGGGAGATGAAGGTCTCCTTCTCCAGCTGATGCTCACTGAGAAAGGGAGGGGACAGTGCTGCTTCTGTGTCCTCTGCATTAGTCAGGCTGTGGCATCTTTCGCTGACAAGGGCACAGCTGGAAAGACAGAAGCCAAGCTGGTGACAGATGGGTTTGTTGGGGCTGCTCTAATTATTATTATTAATTTTATTTATTTATGTATATGGTCTTGCTCAGGAGAGTTGTGCATTAAAGCTATGGACACTTACTTGCTCTATTCTTTCCCCTGACTGCACCGTATCCCCCATTATCTGTCAGCCACCTAGGGTGGCCAAAGCTCTTTATGGCCTGGGGAGAGAAATCCTCCTAGCTGACAGCCCAAGAGAGGTTCTGTTCTACCCCTTCTCAGTCCCTGTGGCCCTTGTCCCTCTTCAGCTCTGTCAGTTCCCAGTGTGTAACTTGTAGAGTCACCTGGAACACTGAAAGTGCCGGCTGATGGCAGAGCTGGAACATGAGATAAACATGTCAGAATCTTTGCAAGGACAAAGCAAGAGAAGATGTGAAGCTCCAGAGAATGGCCACTGCTGTGAGAGATGCTCTCTGGGTTCTCTCCATAGCACAGCAGTGAAGAAGCTGCTTCTGCTGTGGATGCTCTGAGCCCTGCTGCATCACAGTGATGTGGAACCTGGGGCCTGGCACAGCCAGGTAGGATGAGAGGTAATGGCCTTAAACTGCACCAGGGGAGGTTGAGGTTATCTATTAGGAACAATTTATTCTGAAAAGAAGTGGTCAGACATTGGAACAGACAGCCCAGGGAAGTGGTTGGGTCACTGTCCTTGGAGGTGTTTGAGAGCTGTGAACAAGTGGCAGTGAGGATATGGTTAGTAGGCATGGTGGGATGGGTTGGGGTTGGACTGTGTGATCTTGGAGGTCTTTTCCAATCCCAATGATTCTATGATTCTCTGGGGGCACCAAGAGGCCAGCAGAGCAGCTAGAGTTGGCTCCCTGAAGTACAGCCTCAGCAAGGTGATGTCCCTCCAGGGATCCACAGGGGTTTGGGGACGCTGTCAGTAAAGCAAACAGCAGAAGCCCTTTGGGGCTCATCCTGAGCAAGAAGTCAGCGCACAGCTCCACCACCGTTGTGTTGTGGGTCCTCTGCAATGGTCCCCGGAGCCACTAGATGGCAAGTTTGGCTCATGAACCCTGGGCAATATTTCACCTGCATCACGCCTGGGCCGAACCCCCACGCCTGGTCCGTGCCCCACAGCACTGCACAAGGCCAGCTCCATGCCAGCACAGCCACCACGCATGGCACAGGATGGGGATACCAGTGGCCAGGCTTTTGTCTGCCTTCACCCGTCTCTTCCATCCTCCTCTTTGTCTCTCTGCATGCCATCACTCCTGCCTCTCCCCGTCACCTCGTTTCACTCCCCCTCCTCATTTCTCTCCCCCTGTTCCTCACCCCTATCCCCAGCCCATCACATTCTTCTGCAGCCTATTAATAACTTCTGGGCAATTGCACCGGGTCCCTGCTGGGCCCGGCCCCTCGCCCGCCGCTGTCCCGTGCAGCCACTGAGCGCGACGGCAGCAAGTTCAAAAGTGCAGAGGGGCTTTCACGGCCCCGCTCCCCGTCAGGGGGTGGAGGAGGCCGCTGGCAAAGAAAGGCCGCGTTGCCAGGGAGCCTGGCACAGGAAAAGGGGGTCACCGTCACCTCCGGAGGGGACCGAGGGAGATGGACGGGAGCCAGCAGCCTTTTGGGATGGGGATGCTAGGAGCCACGCAGGGACGGAGGCTGTGATATGGAAGAGGGCGAATGGACCGCCGCAGGTCTGAGAGATGATGATGAGAAATCCCACAGCAAAATCCCCCGTGCTCTATGGTAATAAGGGAGGTGTCCCAGGCGCCTCGAGAACAATGTTGCTGCAGTTGAGTGACTGTAACAGGCCCTGATGACAGCCGGGGCCGCGTTAAAAATGCCTATTCAAGCAGATCAAGACATTGAGAGGCCTCGTGGGGATCTCAAACCCTCAGGGATTTCTGGATGAAGCCAGAAGCTGAATCCCCAGCCCTGGGAACCTGAGGGGGGAGAAGGGGGGGGGGGGGGAGAGAAGAGAGAGAAAAGAAAAGAAACCCACAAAGCAGCTTTAAAAAGAGTGCAGTGCCTGAGGCAGGGCCCCCTGCGCCGAGTGGGGCCACAGTCTGAGAGAGCCAAGCAGACCTGACACTGCGATGTGACTGCGGTGCTGCACCCCAAAGCTGTGCGGGGTTCTCCAAAGCACCTCCAAAAGGTGCCCAGGCTGCTGGGGACATCCCATCCCTCCCACCAGGGAGCCACATGTCCCACATGCAGGGTGCAGCCAGCACCGAGCATCTCATCAAAATGAGTTGCGGCATTTCTGCTGCAAGCAAAACAGGGACCAGAAGGAACCACCAGCACAATGCAGGGGTACAAAGATAACAGTGGTCCTTTCTCTGCCCCAAAACCCTGGGAAGCTCTGCAGTTCCCCTGCGAAGGGACCTTTGCCATGTGTGTGCCATGCTGGCTGCATGCAGCCGAGGCACTCAGCAGAGTAATGCTGGAATTTGGCAGGGCAGGAAGAGCAACAAGCCCACACACTCAGGATCTGAGCTAGGAATGGTCAAAATTAAACCCTTCCTTCCCTTATTTTTGCCAGATGAGCCTTAACCCGGATCATTTTCCTGATTTGGTTTGCCATGTGGCTGCCTAAACCACAAGAAAAGAAGCAAGAGACGGAGCAGGAATGAGGAAGAGAACAGAGAGGCTGCTGCTTTCAACTGATGCCAGATTAAAAGAGGTTGTGAAACAACAGCATCAGTCGAGTCTATTTGGTACAATTGCAACACAAATGAACTAGTAATGTTGATAAGGCACCAGTCCTGCAGGATAAAGTATTAATTTTTACCTGTTTTGCTGCACCAAATTGCCTCCTGCTGTTATAGATTTACACTGCAGGATGTGGCCAGCAAGCTGGAAACTTTTCAAGGCAGAGGGATTTATCCATAAAGGACAGTACACATTCATGGACCTGCATAAGTAATGCAAAAGTAATTAATAATAACCTCTTAGCAATGCCAGGGGAAGAAATTGCTTCACTGGAGCTGCTTGCAAAAGACCTTTATTTGTATCTGTCTCAAAAAGAAAGGAAGATGGTAGTTTTGTTACACAGAAAGTATGTAATAGGAGCTGGGATTTTAGTGAAGCCTGGTTATCTTTGTGATTAAAAAACCCTCTTCTGGAGTTGTGTTAAAACGATGTTAATTCAGGTTAAACTTTTCTCAGTTTTAGTCTTCAAAGTCAAAAGTTGGAAAGCGTAAATGCAAAGAGCTGAGAAACTCGGGAAGGAAAAAGAGAGGCTCCAGGAAATATTACTTCTAAATTCTTGTCCTTACAACTCTAAGCACTGCTTCTGAGGTTTGACTCAAGATTTCCAGCTCAGAGGTTGGCAGCTCTGTTACATCCCCATCAGAACTGCTAGCGAAAAAAGTTATTTCTTTTCTTTCCCCGTTTTACTTACATCCTTGCTATCCACTTTTTATACAAAATTAACTGTCGAGTCATAATCAAATGCCAGGATCTCCACATTCTAAAGGTTGTTCTGGACAGATAAAAGGGATCAGATCCTGTTTAGCTGAAAGTCCTGGTTCAATGAATACAGTCCTGCAGCAGTCACAGTCTTGAGGTGCCCTGCCAGTGTCTCTCTGTGTTATTTCACACGGTGGCTGCACACATTATCAGGGCCAGATTTGACCAGTGAGCATAGGGGAGTTGTGAGTAAAAGCTGTACTTCAATAACATGAAGCACGGCTGTTACATGGCCAAATAAACCAGTTGGCAAAAATGATATTAAAAGATCAAATAATGTTTTCAGCTGTTTCTATAAAGCCTCGTGCTTTGCTTCCACTTAGCAACACATTTTCACTGCTGTTTTCAGAAGAAACACAAGCAGTTCACATTTCTCTGATAAAGTGGTTCACATAACTTCAATTCTGTAGTAATGGCTGCTATAAAAATACCTAAGATGAAAGGATTCGCTTTTCCCTGCCTTCACACTGAAGCTCGTGGTCTCACTTAGTTCTGTCCTCCATGTTTTCCCATTCACTTTCTATGAGCATTCAGTCCTTGGGTCCCAATTCATGAGCTGCATCGATTTAGACAGACATTCCACGAGAGACCAGGTGTCTCAGTTCACTGAAATGCATAAGCATATGTTTAATTTTAAGCATATGAATATTTCCATTGCTATCAATGGCACTCGCTTACACTTAAGGATTCATTTTGTTGAGTAGCAGCCAGAAATAGTGCTGTGTAATGCCAATAAAGTGCAAACTGCAATATTTCTCTAAGTGCTTTTTGGGACCATTCTAAAAATTAATCGATGAACAACTGCAACTTGAAAACACAAAAACTGATATATGTGGGATTTTATTGTTTACTGCCAAGCACTAACATCCACCAGAGCACTGCCAAGTGAAATTAAAACCAAATCTGTGAAATGGAGCAAAAACGGCAACAAGTTAAATTTGTTCTTCATCACCATTCATCCTATCTGACTTAAAGATCTAGTGGTGTAACACTGAAAAACATGAATCATCTCGACAGAAAGACATACACAGAGATTAAAGGCAGGGCTTGACCCCGTCTGTACCATCCCTAATGCATACTAACTCTATTCAGTCCAACCTGGAGTGGATACTTGAAAGAGAGAACAGGATCTGCTCTGTGACACTCGGCACAGAGAAGTGCCTTGAACAAGGGCAACTTTTAATGATCAAACTATGATGAAGTGTCACTAAAAACATGACTCTGCTCTCCCTTATCTTCCACAGGACTTTATCTACTGCTCTCTTATGAGGAACTGATGAAAATGTCCAGGCAGCAAGCATCCTAGCTACTTCCATTTGTTTCCATCACATTATGCATCACAAGTCCAACAATGCTGCCATTGCCAGTGACCCACGCAGACCTGGGACCCCATTCCCCTATGATGGGATCACAGTATAAACAGCTATATATCTATATGCAAATGATTGCTGTTTTCAAGCTGTTCATCAGTGACCTTCTACACTGCCCATACGGTACAGTAATATGTTTTCCACATATGTCAGATGTTTCGTGACACATTTCATGCATATATTTAAAATAGATTTCATAGCATATAAAAATCCGCAGGCAGTGGGAG